CTCGCTCGGTCTTGCTAATTCTTAGCATAGCATCACGTTCTGACCATCATAATCGGCTATCCATCACCATCAAACGTGGCGTTCTTATGGAGCTTCTCATGAAATTGGCCTGATGTACGTGAAAATGAACGAAATAGCTTTTCATTGATGTTATAAGACTTTTTAAAACCTGCTGCCAAGATGTTAAATAAGTTGTTATCAACTTACGTTTCGGCGTAATCGCCTTCTTCAGAGCCTGGAAACGAAATAGAAACGAACGAAATAGCTTCTAAACTGACATGAAACCCATGGAGTTAACTGTTTACATCAATATTTCCATTTTTGGTAACCAACCAACCGATCACAGAGTGACGGTAGAGCGTTCTAAGGGAGCTTCGCTAAGCGAACTGTGTCAGTGGTAGTGACACCTCTTGACACCTGTATGGGACATTACAAACTGCGCATGCTGAACATCGATCTTGCTTAAACTGATTCGCTATGGTGAGAATTGCCTTTTGGATCAGGCCCGAGTATGTCCAATTTATTGATATTAATGATCTCGATCGAGTAGCAATAATGAGGATTTGAAAAGTTCGGCTTTCCTGAATGAAAACCGAGTAGGGGCTCTTTGTCAGTGGTCAGTCTGCGTTTCTCAGGAAAGAGACGAGTGGCCAAGTGCTAAACAGTCTTTTACATTCGAGGGCTCAATGAGACCAACTATAAATTGAATTAAGGGTCCAATTAGGGCCTAACGCGTTACCCCATCCGAAGAAAGGCTGTGTTCAGTGAAATATGTTCAAAATGTAGGGTATACGTATTGTTGTTGTTTTTATTTTTTTTGTGCATGAAAAGATCCAATCGTTATATAGCAAATGTGGATGCTTGAACAGACGGCGATGAGGGCTGCGTTAGATGAGAACGATAAGCATGCGACGCCATATCGTTCGTATATCGCGTCGATCTAGCGATCATACTCTTTGGAAGTAACCGCGTCAAAGTCGTCGAAATGGCGCTACGCAGGCTGCCGATGCCATCGGCAGAGCTCGTGGATTTGCGGTCGATAGAACGCTGTTCGATGGGGATGTCATTTCCGCTATGGACATCGGGAAATTCAGAATGCAGTGCAAATGAGGGGAGAGGGGTAGTGCGCTTTCGACTAAATTGGACTATCGGGCTTGACTAATTTCTGCGTATTTGCCACAGATGCGATCCCTGTGAGGGTTTCCTCAGTGGTGGAACTTTTCCATTGCACTGATGTGAAAATATTACCCCTAAATGCTAGGATAGTCAAGACTCACTCTCACCGCCTAGGAGTTTTTCCAGTAAGGGCAAGTTCTGGTTGTTTTTTTTTTACATTTTAGCATTTTTTCAGGAAGATGTTGAAGCATGGCTTTCCAAGGAAAAGTTGTCACCCGAAGAAGGTGTGGCTGTGTTGGAAGAACGTTATAAGAAGTACAAATACGTCGAAGCCAGTATGACGTCGCAAAAGGCAAGGTATGGTGCTGTTTGCTGTTTGTTTCCTTTTTATGTTCGTGTTTGCATGAGTTGCTCAACTGAATCGCGACGTAAAAGCGAAAATTTGGTGGAGGCATTGGTGAAGCGAAAATCGCTTTCAGCTCCCAAAGTGTCCTAACTGAAATGTCCCGAATTGGAGAAGCTTTTATGGTTTGTTCATGAGCCAATGGTGAGTGGGGGCGAGCATTGTCAGACTATTAGAGCTTATTTCTTCGTGCATAGAGGCATTCCCGTCTGGGAGACATTCGACTTCCAATTAAGAATCATAGTGGCGTGTTTAATACGTATGTGGTCTGTACAATGACGTAGCCAGCCGATGTAAAAGTCAGTGCTTTTATCCTCCCAGACGAGTCTTACCAATTAACCGACTCCGGAGGGTGGAAGCTTGGTTAGCCTAGGCGGCTATCGATTTGGGATTAGAACTCGTGACTATACCTGATGAAAATGATCGAAGTTGCTACTAGTGCAGATACCGTTCGATCCATGTTTTATTGAAGCTTGAAGCAATGTTTCAAAAGTATATCATCGGTGAAATGTGCGATCTGATGAGGATTGAGTGGGAGGGGGGAGGGGAATGGGTTGGGGCAAGAGGAAAAATCGTTTTTTCTCATGGTGGTTGCTTAGCACTTCTGAATGATTGCTGAGGGCTGAATGGTAACAGCCCCGACAATGGCTTGTATCACACATTATGTTACGACACATTGCTGTCTATTGCTCACAGGCAATGGGTGGGAGCAAGTGCAAACGTAATGCTTCACGATTTCTCAACAGGTTACACATAATCTCATTGAAAAGCAGCGACGGATCTACTATGATCAACCATGAATGAAGAATAGATTTGCTTATCTTTTGAGGTGGCGGAGCTTCGAAAAAAAGCAGAAGTTCTCATGCACACACACACACAGTCGTGGTCGAGTTCCCAGAGAAAGCCTCAGCAGAATCCTATCTATAAGTAGGTAGTGGGTGATGGGAACAATTAGGTCCCCTTTCCGAGGAGGAGAGGGGTGGGGTCTCCGGTTCGATTTTTTACCACGCTTTTTCCACCTATCAATTTTCGGGTTAGTAATTGCCTCATCGGTACGGCCTCTCCTTCTGCAATAGGTCTTTTGACAACTTCCCATGGTCATCCCATGTTATTTCGAAACGAATGAGAAAACAGTGCATTGTCAGTCGTTGCTATATAGTAAGGATGGGAAACGTTTTTTATAAGGACCCATTATTAGTTATGCTTTCATATGGAACAGTGCGCGAAGCTGTCTGGTTTTTGGGGAGTACCAAGCCTAACTGGCCGACTTTTGTTGTCG